GACTTCCCTATCTGGGTTGATATCTGGTTGCTGTGTCCTGTGTTCTTGTCTTGAGTTGCTATCTGATGTTGCTGATTTTCTAACCAGAGGACTTCCTTTAGTATTTCTTGTAATTTTGGTTTGGTTTTTGCAAATTCCCTAAACTTCTGTTTATCTGGAAATGCCCTAATTTCGCCACCATATTTGAGAGACTGTTTTGCTGGGTATATAATTTTTGGCTGGCAGTTGTTTTCCTTCAGGACTTTGTATATGTCGTCCCATTGCCTTCTTGCCTTCATGGTTTCTGCTGAGTAGTCCGAGCTTATTGACTCTTCTTTGTAGATGACTTTTTGTTTATCCCTAGCTGCTCTTAAAATTCTCCCTTTGTCTTTGATTTTGGCAAGTTTGGTTATAATATGTCTTGGTGACTTCCTTTTGCGATCTACCTTATGTGGGGTTCCATGAGCATCTTGGATAGATATCTTGTCATTTTTCACGATATCAGGGAAGTTTTCTGTCAACAAATCTTCAACAATTCTCTCCGTATTTTCTGTTATCCTCCCCCATCCTGGTTCTTCAGTCACTTGTAGGTTATTCCTCTTGATAGAGTCCCACATAATTCTTAGGGTTTCTTCATTTTTTTTAATCCTTTTATCTGATTTTTCCTCAAAGAAGTTAGTGTCTCAAGTCCTTTATCTTCATTCTCACTAATTCTGACTTCTGTTTCCTCAGTTCTGTTACTATGACTTTCTATTGAGTTGTTTAATTCTGACATTTTATTGTTAATCTTCTGGATTTCTGAATGCTGTCTCTCTATGGATTCTTGTAGCCTGTTAAATTTGTCATTATGCTCTTCTCTAATCTTTTTAATTTCCTCTGTTGCGTGTTCTGTGTTTTGCTTAATTTCCTTCCTAATTTCTCGAAGAGTTCTGTATATTAATCTTCTGTATTCTGTCTCTGGTAATTCCAAGAAATTTTCCTCCTCTGGAAAATTTCTAGATTCTTTATTTTGGGAGCTTGCTGAAGCCATCATGGATTGTCTCTTTATGTGATTTGACGTTCACTGTTGTCTCCGAGCCATCAGTAAGTTATTATATTTATTTATTTTATGTTTGCTTACTGTGTTGTAGCTTCTTGTTTTGTTTTGATATGCCCAAATAGGCTGCTTGTATGAACTAGTTTGATTATTGGCACCTTTGAAGTGCTAATGTCCTGTCAGCAGATGGTTAGATCTGTTACTAGGTATGTGAGCTCAGGAGTCCGCCCACTCCTCCTGTACGGATTCAGCTCAGGTGCCCAGGTAGATAGCCACGAAGTGTGTGGTGTAGGGTCTCACTTACAGTCCTAGAGAGGCATGGGTGATTGGTGTAGGCAGAGGCATCTGGCTGCAGCAGGTGGACACCCTCTGAGCAAGGCAGGGGACTGATGGCCACCTCCGAGTGTCCAGGAGGAAGGCGTGTCCCTGTTCCTTAGAGCGCGTAGATGCATGGGTTTTGCAGCCCGACTATGAGCACCTAATGTTGCTCGCTGTAAGGTCTGGGGGGCACCTCTTATTCATGGGCCCCTCTCGCAGGTGGCTAGGTAGCGTGGGTGGAGCCACCAGTCCTCAGGCCCCTGATGTGGGTGGGTGAAGAGCCTGCTTAATGGGCTGAGCAGTGTCAGTGTCAAGAACCTGCCTCTTCACAGCTGAAACAGTTGAAGTTAGAGTTCCGGTATATACCCTGTTGTACTGTGGTAATGTGGGCCTACACTGTTGAGATGGGCCCACACAAGTCTATGCAGGGGGAAAGCCACTCAGAGTGCACGGATCCCTTATGCCTGTGCCTTGGCAAAGGAGCTGTGCTTATCCTATGTTCCTGGCTTAGGGGAGCCAGCAGTTTATTTTGCCCCGTTTGTTTATTTGTTCACTCTCCAAGGCAGGGAGAATGGCTCTGGGCATGTGACGGATCCTACTTTCTGCCCAGGCGACTCTGCAATTGTTGAAGCCAGTCTGGGACCCAGTGCAGAGTAGGAAGTGGGGAGGTAAATGGGAGAGAGGTTTTTCCCTAAGCGGGGTGTTTTTGATCCACGTAGTAGGCCGTATGCAATTACTTATCTTTCGGTGATCGAGGGCTGCTTCTCACTGGTTCTCTGTGGCCAAGTAGACTCTCAGCAGCTGGGTCTCTTCTGGTGCAGAATACGCCTCCCAAGCATTGCCACTTGCCTGCTTCACCGGCTCACCCCCAAGTTGATCAGGCCTGAAGGGCTCAGGCTCTCACCAGGTTAGGTCTTGCAAGTCCTCGCTGCTTCCGAACTGTCTCTCCCTCCCCCTGCCACTCAGTCCAGTTACTTGACTCTGCCTTTGATGTTCAGGGCTCCCAGATTGCCATATATAATCGAATCACTTGTTTTTTCGGGTCTTTGTTGTAAGAGTGTCCACCGGAAGCATCTGACTACTCTGCCATCGTGGCCCTACCTCCTCAGCTTATCCTTTTTCTAAAAAAAAAACATAGTAAGACTGTATATTGGGAAAAATGCCTTTGGCATTTCAGTTTTTAAATTTACATTTAGACCAGTTACTGAAGTTTAAGACCTCATTTGCTTCTAAGCACTTGTTTGGCTGGTAGTAAAAATCGGCTCCATATACCTTAATGCTCTTTGCTGTAAGCTCCAAGAGGGCAGAGATGGAGTTTTACACAAGATGCAACGTAGTATAATGTGTGAGTTGGAGCTCCTTTGCTTATTGATGTATGACCTTGGGCAAGTTAACTTTAGTGTGCCACATTGTTTTCATCTGTTCAATGGGTACGTAAAAAAGTGAACATAATACGTACATATGATCCCTTCAGTGTCTTTTGAGTTTTACATGTAAGTAGACAGTCAGCTGTCATTTAGGGAATGGATAATCATTTTTCTTCTCATGTTTTACCTGTAAATGTAATACCGTTTATTTATCGTTTATTTTTGCCTGCTGTTGTCTCTTTTTGCCCTTTGCCTTGTTTCATTCAGCTAACACTATCTTGTTTACTTATTTTGTTTCTGACAGGTCATATAAAAATATTAATGAGAGATTCCTCAGGGTTTTTCCATAAAAAAAATAATAGAGCTGTACTTTAAATGATATGGTATGGTCTTCAGAGCAGCTGGTAGAGATAACCAATTCCAACTGCAACGTTTTCTGTTTGACATCTTGTAGCATTTCTGGATTAACCGATCATTATTGCTGCGTAATGTTGGAATTTCAAGTGTATGGTCAATTTTTAAAAATCTAGAAGCTTAGATCAGAGCATTGAATTTTAATACTTAACTGTACTTAGAGAATATAACTGTTCTATTGGAATCCATGTCTTTTTTGGGCAAGCTTTTATATATATATATATATATAGCCAAGTCTTAATTTTAGCCATTTTAAAAGATGAGACCAGTGGTATGAATAATCCTAAATAGAGATTTACTGCCACAAAAAACTGTTTGAATTTTTAATTGAAGTATAATATAATACAGAAATGTACACAGCTTATAGGTGTACAGCTCAGTGAATTTTTACACACTGAAATGGCTGGTATCTAGGCCCTATCAAGGAACCGAACATTACCAGTATCCCAGAAGCTCCCGTTACCATCTTTTAATGAATAACCCCCATCCAAACGCATTGCCATCAAGTTAACTCCGACTCCTAGCAACCCTATAGGACAGAGTAGAACTGCCCCACAGGGTTTCCAAGGAGTGCTGGTGGATTTGAACTGCTGACATTAAGGTTAGCAGCCGAGCTCTTAACCACTATGCTACAAGGGTAACCATTCTTTCTCTTTATATTTTAATTCACTGTATTTTTTTAAACCCATGCCAGCTGACTGTGGGCTAAAGACCAGGGGAGGAGAGAGGTAGATATGTAAGATAGAAGGGAAAGCCTACTCAGCTTAAATATTTGTCATAATATGAATAATTCAAATATAGATAATTAAGGGTTACAAAGGTATCAAGTTCAACTTAACCCTTTATATTGCCTGTATGTATTTTATAAAAAAAGATCAGAATTAAAAAAAAAAAAAAGTATTTAGAGGGAAGAGGATCCTGAAGTTAAAAAGGGAAATGAAACAGAACATTGACAAAATGTTTTTCTATATAAATATTGATGTATTCAGTAATGTTTTAGGTACTGCTTAGTAATGAGAATACAGCTTTAGGTATGCAAACAGATTTTTTTCAACCATATTTTTGAAGACTGTGAAAAGAAAAGTTGAAATTATAATGAATTGGCTGGTAGAAATTAAGGTAAACAGACAAATTGGAATGTAGCCCCCACTCCTGCCCCCCAGCGTAAACTCTGGGAGACAGTGATGTGTGTAAATGAGGTTATGGCAAGATGCAAAGGAGAGACCTGAGGCTGGAGTCTGCTATTCTTGCTCTGGCTCTGCCTATCTAGTTGAGTGATCGTAAGCCAGTCACCAAACTTCTCTGGGCCCCTTCTGCTTTTATACAGTAGATATATTACCTGTTCTCCCTGCCTTGGGACATTGTGGTAAGCATAAAATCAGATGATAGAATTTTGCAAAATTAAAAGCACTAGACAATTTTATAGAGATATAAGAATTAGGTTGGATTGGTCAGTATAGAAAAATAAATGTTGCTGAGGACATTCCTTAAGATCATTCAGCTCCCTTTGCTCTAAATCTGAAGTCTTTTGTGTCTTTGTGATGGAAAATAATAGTTTTCCCCATGTAGACCTATTCATTACAAAAGAGTTACCTTGAGGCGACAGTAAATTCGTCAGTCCAAGGTCTTGGCAAATTAATACATTTCTGATTAACTGCTCTTCTAAGGATTTGATTGGTGTGACTAGATTTACATGGATTTGACCAACTCTGGGTGACCTAGTAAAATCCTATTTCACATGTAATCTGAGAAACCTGTTAGTGACAGCAGCCTACGAGGTCCTTAGAAAACTTGGCCTGGAAGAGAACGCATGAAAGAAAGGTTTGTTTTTGCTGAATGTAATTTATGAGAGTGTTTAAAAATGAAGTATAATCGTAATACACAAAGGATTGTTGTTTTTTTTTTTCCCTTTTCAGAACCCCAAGAGGCTTTGTGTTCTGTGAAAAAGTATTTCTATACGATTGCTCCAATGACAGAGCTACCTGCACCCTTGTCCTACTTCCAGAATGCACAGATGTCCGAGGACAACCACCTGAGCAATACTGTACGTAGCCAGGTACAGTGTCAGCCTCTGAAACTGCCCTTGCCAGACTGTGGGTGCAGTTACCATCCTCTCTCACCTCCAAGAGAGTCTGAGGGGGCTGAGTAGGCTTCCTTTTTTTTTTTTTTTCCATTGTCATGCTTTAAGTGAAAGTTTACAATTCAAGTTAGTCTCTCATACAAAAGTTTATATATACATTGTTATGTGACCCTAGTTGCTCTCCCTACACTGTGACAGCACACTCCTCCTTTCCACCCTGGATTTCCCGTGTCCATTCAACTGACTCCTGACCCTCTCTGCCTTCTCATCTCACCTCTGGACAGAAGCTGCCCGTTTAGTCTCATGTATCTACTTAAGCTAAGAAGCACACTCTTCACGAGTATCATTTTATGCCCCATAGTCCAGTCTAATCTTTGTCTGAAGAGTTGGCCTTGGGAACGGTTTTAGTTTTGGGCTAACAGAGTCTGGGGGCCATGTCTTCTGGGGTCCCTCCAGTCTCAGTCAAACCTTAAGTCTGATCTTTTTACTAGAATTTGAGTTCTGCACACCACTTTTCTTGAGCAGTCTTCCTTTACTTCACCAAATTTATGTATTTGTTGAACTTTCAGCTGAGGGCAAAGCATTGTACTCTTTGGTGCCGTGAACACAAGGCTGTTGAAGACATGGGTATTGATACAGTTCCTCCTTGGCTCAGACATCCCCTCAGTTGAAGCCTTCTCCAACTTCCCCAGGCATACAACATCTCATAATTCCACATTGTTTATTATTTTACCTATCTTCTTATTTTCAGGGCAGGATGGTCATCTTATTTACGTTTTTCCTTTTTCCCTTTTTATACAAGTATAACATACATAACGTTTTATTTACTGTTATTTTTTAAGTACCTAGCACAGTTCCTGACAGCGCTCAATAAATGTTCATTGATAGAGTGATCGTACAATGACGAATGCAAGGCTACATGTAGAAGTCCTAAGAGAGTTCAACAGAGGGAATCTTGAAAGGAGCGTAACCATGTTTTTTATGCAGATAACGCGTGCCTTCTATGTTTGTTTGCCAACTGCACCTTCCCCCGCAAGGTATTTCCATAAGTGCCACTATGCCTTTTTTTTTTAACATGTTGCTATAAAAAATATTAGCATAGAACACTTATAAAAATATCTCAGAGGGAGAGGGCACGGTTGGCAAACAAACATAGAAGGTACACGTTATTTGGTAAAAAATATGGTAACCCATGGTATGGGACACAGAGACTCTTCATTAGTCACACAGAAGTCAAATCTGAGCGTACAGCCTTGTGAGCTAATCATATAGGTTGAATCCAGACTCCACAGAGGACCTGTAAGATGGTTAGAGAATTGATGGGATTTTTAGAGGTGGAGCCATATAGGGGAAAACACAGGGCAAATAGAAGCTTTGAAGACTGCATGGGGCGGGTGGTGGTGTCAGATTTTCTCTATTAGAACCAGAGGGCAGGGCTGGAAGAGTGGTGGAAGCTACCAGGAAACAGGTTCTGGATCAGTAAAAAGAATTTTCTCACAATTACAGTACGTCTGAAAGAGCAAGGGCTGCCTTCTGGGCTAGTGTGTGCTTGTCACTGAAAGTAGTCACAATAGGTTGGAAGACCACTGGGCAGATCTGCCAAGGGTTATTCCATGGAATAAAAACATGAACTAGAGCAGTAGATAACATGGAATTTCCCTTTATACTCCATAGATTTAGGATTCCAGTTAAGGGCCAAAATGTATGGGGGAAAGCCTCACAAAGTAGATTTTGAAGGATGGGTAGGATTAGAATAGAGCAAACCAAGGATGTGATTACTAACAGAAAAACTAATATGAATGGAGGAATAATTTTCTTATGGTATAAATTGACAGTAGGCCATCCCTGGAGATAATGGCAACAGAGGCAGATCACACTGTATTACTGGAACATTTTTAATCAAGTGAAATCAAGTTAAAATGAATATCAGGGGAAGCCCTGAACAGGAGCACAACCTGTGAAAGGGTAGTATGTAACCTCTGGGGGGCAGGATGGAGGGCGGGGGGGCAGGGTCTGCTCCACCTCATAGCTTGGTACTTGGTTGTTGTTGGTTGCCATGAAGTCCAGTTGATTCCATTCCAACTCATGGTGACTTGGTTGTTAAGGGGTGTTAAAGACAGATTTTGCAGCAACCTATTTGCTCCTCTATTAGGCATCAGCAGCTTGATTTTCTTTTTAGCTGTTCCCTGGGAATAGCTTTTTGAAAAGTTAGGATGAGGTCAGATTATGAAGTTCTTTGGATAAGGATATGAAAGTTTGAATGCTGCAGGCTCTGTATTCATTTTTAAACTGCTACTTTCGGGGAAGGAGAATGGGAACAGAAATAGACTTAGGCAGATCCCTGGATGCCCCCTTCCTTACCCAGAGCACTTCTGATTTATTTATTTTACATCTTTTGTGGGTCCCTTTGAACAAAGGTTTCCGCAGCTTAAAAGTTTTGGAAGAACACCAAGTTTTGTGTCACTCATCTGTTGCAAATCTTCCAAAATGTCCCATGTCAGTCAGAATAAAATCTGGTCTAAGAAGTCTTATCCCCCACCCCTGCCACCTCTAATCTCATTTCTTACCACCTTCCCCCTCACTCACTGCCTCTTCAGTTCTGCCTCTGGGCCCTCTTTCTCTTCTCCCTTCTTCACTTCCTTCAGGTCTGGGCTCATGAGTCACCTTATCAGTGAGGCTTTCCCTATATAAAATAGAAGCCCTCCTCAACTTCCCTGCCACCCTACACTCTCTATCCCTTTCTCTGCTTTACTTGTGCATAGCACTCATCAGTATTTCTAGCATACATATATTTTTGACTTGTTCATCTGCCTTTCCCTACCGTGTGTGTCTTAGTTATCTAGTGCTGCTACAACAGAAATATCACAAGTGGGTAGCTTTAACAAACATTTATTTTCTCGTCGTTTAGGAGGCTAGAAGTCCGAATTCAGGGTGCCGGCTCCAGGGAAAGGCTTTTTTCTCTGTCTGCTCTGGAGGAACGTCCTTGTGTCTTTTTCAGCTACTGTTCCTTGTTTCCTTGGTGATCTTCATGTGGCATAGTATATGTCTTCCCCCATCTCTGCTTGTTTCTCTGTGCCTAATCTGTTTCATATCTCTAAAGTGATTGGTTTAAAACACACCCTGTACTGATATGGTCTCATTAACATAACACAGAAAACCTTTTCCCAAATGGTATTACATCCACAGGTATTGAGATTAGAATTCCAACACATATTTAGGGGGGACAGGTTCAGTCCATAACACTGTAAGCTGTGTGAGGCCAGGAACATTACTGCCATGTCCATAGAACCAAGAACAGTACTCTACACTGTAGTGTGATGAGCTTTATGTTGTTAATGTAGGGTTTTTACATCGCTCACACTCAGATTTTGTGGGGCTTTCATGATATTTTTTCCTGCCCTTTTTTACACCTAAGTGATTGATAAGTTAAAATGAAGGGTGCTACAGAAGAGGTACAATTGACACAGGATTTTTGTTGATAATCACATTTGTTCATGGTTTGTTTTTTGCATGTTTTAGTGCTGTTGTTCTCAGTGGTACCTTCCAGGTCTATTAGGGCAGCACTGTCTAGAAAATCAAGTTTGACTCCTTTGTTTAGTTTTGATGCTGCTATTAATAAGATGTCAAATTTATCTTTTGTTTATCTCCTTAAAAATGCCTTGTGCAGCTTATAAAGATCTTGTATATGCATTCTCATTTAAACTTCCCAGTTAGCTTGGAGTGGGTATTACTCCTATTTTACAGTGTAAATACTTGTCCAAGATCACATAGAAAATTAAATGACAAACCTGGAACTTTGCTTTGTAATTCCAAATTTTATGCTCCTATGTTCTTTCTATGCGACAAAAAGAGAAAAAAAAAAAAAGCTGAGAGGAGATAATGTATGAAAAAATTCTGGGTAAGAAAAATACTAAGTCTGTGCATTCATTTTTCACTGATGTACGTTTAAAACCCCCCAAAAAAGTTATGTCACTGTTAAGTTAGCTATAAAGAACCCGTTGCGTAAGTATATGTTCTGACTGATCATGAAAAACTGGGAGTAGAGCCTAATTTAAATTGGACATAGATGGCTTTTTCTGGATTAGTTGAAAGCAGCTCTTTTATTTCACTTCTTCGCAAGTGGATTTGTTAAATACAAAGTATACTAAGACAAGTCTCCACAGGCATAAAAAATCCTTATCAGGCTTATCTCTTCCTCATTAGTTCAGTGGCTAGCTTAGAGGATCTTTCCGTACTACTCGTAAAAGGAAACTAACCTTTGAGTGTCTTCAGTGTGCTAGGCTCTGTGCTAGGTCCTGTCACAAACGTATCATTTTAAGGCCTTGTATTTTTGGAGCACTCATCATGAATGAATGAGTAGATTTCCCTCCTTTGAATAGCTAGTCTGTTAAAGTGCCTATCTGTATTAATATTTCCCCTAGAGTACACAAACGTGTTATTTTTACCTTAACTATTACAAAAAGAAAAGAAATCATTAAAAAATATTTTTGAAACTGGAAAGGGACTCAGTAACTTCCTTACAGACTATCTAGATATCAGTGTAAAGAAGTAGATCTTCTCTTTCTTTCCTCCACTCAGCATCTTCCTTCAAGGTCAGGAGCATCCCTAGCCTTGAACTCATAGCAGGAAACAGTCATTTGAGTTTGGGAAAGAGCAGACATCGGAAACTGTCCAGAAAGCACTGAAGAATTGGCTTTTAAGGGTTGTGGTTGTGAGTAACTTAAAAATAGGCACCCCAAAGGGAAAACTTAACTTTGATCCAGTTGTAATTTAAAGCAGTTGTGTGTAGGTTTACCTAATTCACTTAATTTCTTAGTACCTCATTTTTCTCATCTATAAACTTAGGTAATTTACTAGATAATCTCTGAGTTCTCTTTCAGCTCGGAAGTTAGGGTGACCAACCGTTCCTGTTTGCTCAGGCCTGAGAGATTTATGCAAGGCATTCAGTTTACAACTGTGACAGTCCTAAGCAGGGA